TTGGCAATGGATACACGCGCATGCACTAGATTTGAGAAGACTAGTACAAATAATATGCTATAAGAACATAGATAAAAGGAAGGGGCTGGGGAGATGGCTCAGTGGAATAAATGCTTTCCTGGCAAGCGCAAGGGCCTGAGTTCAATACCTGGTAAAAAAAAAAAAAAAAAAAAAAAAAGAACATAGATAAAAGGAAGATGTTCTAACTAGCACGGCTCCTGAAGGCCTTCTGGAAAGATAGCTGAAACTTGAATAAGAAACATGACAATATAGCAGAAAGATAGACCAGGGCCAGCCAGATAGCTCAGTGGACTAAAGCGCCTGCTTAGGCAGACAAGGGACCGAGGTTCTAGCCCCACGTGCCGTCCCGGCCCCATCACTGGGGTGTGCTGAGACAGTGATTGAGACTGGGTATGGTGGCAGGGGCCTATAATCCCAGCATGTGGGAGGCTGAAAACAGGAGGACCACTACAAGTTTGATCTGTGTAGTGAGACTCTGTAGACCTTGTCCTGAAATACATTTTTAAAAAAAAGAAGAAGAAAAGAAAAAGAAAAAGGAAGACAGACTAAAGGTGAAGCAGCCTCAGCTCATCCGAAGCCAGGAAGATGCTGGGTAGATCATCAGCTCCTTCAGGAGTAGAAGGCATTGGTGGCACGGCAGGAGATGATTCCTGAATGGCCCAGAGAAACTCAGTTACAGAGAGGGCTGTATGTGAACTAGAAATTCCAGGAACAAGAATGGCAGGTGAGAAATAGGATGAGCCCAAGACAGCACCTGCCTCCTACAGCTCTCAGCGGATCTCCACTTATAGTGCGTGGCATTTTCTGGGTGCAAATAAACACCTTGAACAAATGGGTTGGAGGAAGAATAGGGTAGAGGCTGGGTTATTAGGTCACTGCTGTTGTTCAAGAGGACAAATGTAATCAACATTGCTGAAGAGAGAAGGACTGTAGCCGATGGCTGTATCTGGGCCCAGGGAAAGGGGTTAAAGAAGGCGGGTGTCGATTCTGTCGCACCGCCAAAGGCAGTGGCACTGGAGAAGGAGCACACACAGAAGAAACAGGCAATTTTGGTGGAATGGGAATAGGAAAGATTCTTCCTTCTGTGTTGGATTATGTTTTGTTTTGAACTGCTGGTACAGTAGGTAGTGGAAGATTTTCAAGCCTAGAAAATTCCCAGGAATCAGCTTTTCTTTGAGAAGGGTACAACGTTCATCTGCTTCATTTCATCTGTTGTATCGGCAGAGCTATAGTAATTCCAGTTTGATGTTTCCTTTTATCATCTTAAAATTGTGTGGAACTATCTAAACAGAGCTAACAGGAAAAACGTATTTAAGGCATCAAGTGGTTGGAGGTGATCTTGATGTCGACACTTTAAAATAGTGGTTGTGAAGTACGGTGTGTCGTTTTGAGGACAAAAGATGGTAACTTTTTTTTTTCTTTCTAAATTAAAACCTCAGTTTTGAGGCTTAATTGCAGAGTTAGCACTCTGTGTTTTGCTTTGCAGTCCCGGCGCTTCTCTCTCTAAAAAGTTCGCCATCACTGCTTTAAAAGTTGGGCAAACTTCATTCTCCATCTTCCTTAATTGGGTTGTGGATGAAGAAATAAACGTTAAATGATAGGCTCTGTCAGGTATCAGGCGCTAGGAGAAAACATATGCCTGTACGTAAACTGGAAAATGAAAAAGAGACATAACCAGAGGTGCAGGTCTGTCTTTTGTTCACTTTGAACTCAGGACCTTGCACTTGCCAGGCAGGCGCTTATGGCTCTGAGCTACACTCTCCTGCCCTTTTTCTTCACTTAAACAAAAAAAAAAAAAAAAAAAAAAAAAAGGGAGCTCACGATGCAATATGCACATGTACCAATACTCCACGAGTATTGTAAACACATAAGATTACGGGGGGTCGGACGGCTACAGCCTTAGCAAGTCAAATTTGCGGCGCTCCCCAGGGCTGGCCCCCGGGGATCATCCTCACCTCCCGGGCTGGGAGGATTAAGGATTACCTGGGAGCCCGCCGGCGCGAGGACTGCCGCGCTGCGCTTCGGAGCGGCGCTCGCCCCGCCCGGCGGCGCTCTAACCGGCGCTCCGCCCCCCCCC